AGAGTGGATTTTTGAACAGAGCATTATCCCGATAATGCTGCTTTATTTCAGAGAAAATGCATTGTAAATCCGGTAAATAAAGCTGCATTATCGGATTGTTCTCTGTTCAAAAATCCACCCTTAGTGCTTCCAAATGACCTCAGCGAAGTATGGGGAGGGGGTTTCTATCAACTGAGGACAGCGGCGGAACTGAACTTATCTTCTATCTCCTTCGGGCCATGCTATCTAGCTCCCCTCTCTTGTGGGTGTCATTTATTTGTATCGTATTTCTACATGTTCACGCTTCGTGCTGCAAGGAAGTTAGCGGACGGTCCATTTCCAAATAGAACACTGCGTGAACCGGAGGGAAAAACGATTATAACTCTATTCGTGCAAAAGCCTCGTAGAAAATGCAGTGAAAAATCAGATCATATGGTCGGGATGCCCTGGATTTTTGCCAGGTGGAAGCTGCCCTGCTCCAATAACCGCCCCCCCCCCCCCCCCCCCCCTCCCTCAACTAGGATCCTGGGGAGTCGCAGGGTCTTTTTCCTCGAAGCCTTAGGTGGTTAAAAAAGGAGGGGGGGGATTCACCACTGCTGTTGACTCATTTCCGTTTGGGTCATTTATTTTTCTGTCATATGCTATCAGAAGCAACTGATTTCGACATCCTAGCGAAGTACTTCTACACCTGGAAACTGCGCCCGAACTCGGCCAAAACCATGGTGACTGCCTCCCACCTGAACAACAAATTGGCCAAGGCAAGGCTCAGTGTTGACTTCTGCGGCCACCGGGTGAAGCACGAGGACACGCCTTCGTATCTCGGTGTCACGCTTGACCGCTCATTGACAGGCGCACCTTGAAAAGGCGGGTCAAAAGGTGAAGAGCAGGGTGAACTTGGTCCGCAAACTCTCCGGAACGATATGGGGAGCAAGTGCCAAGACGTTGCGGACAACAGCACTCTCGTTAGTCTATTCAGCGGCAGAATGCTGCTCACTGGTCTGGACCTACATCTGCCACACAACGAAGATCGACTCGCAACTCAACGAAGCGATGCGCATCATCACCGCCACCCTAAAGCCAACTCCAACTACATGAATCCCTGCACTCGCCAACATCGCACCTCCAGCCATACGAAGGGAAGCATAAAACGTCACGTGCCTTCGAATCCATGTCCGCCAACACGAATCTACCCATCCATCGCATCATAGACGACCCACAGAAAAAGCGGCAAAAATCCCGCTCTCCCTTCTGGGAGAGGGCGGCAACTCTCGACTCGCCCTCCTTCAATGTGGAGGAAAGCTGGAAAAAAAAAACTCTTGGAAAATACCAACATCCAGTGGCGTATTTTGGCTGAGGGGTCGGGGGAAAGGCAACAGCGCGGAGACGCCAATCCCCATCCGAGCGATGCCAGGTGGGGAAATTATTACCTCGAAGGAGGCGCCAAGCTCTGTCCCAGGGGCGCCAGGCTGCCCCCTCTGCCCCCCCCTCCCCCCCCTAAAATACGCCACTGCCAACATCCCAAATAAGTCGCTGGTCTCCGACCCAACAGTGCAGCCTCCCGGCTTCGACCTCAGCCGCCGCCGGGAATGGTCGATTTCGAATCGCATCCGGACACTCCAAGGTCGTCGCGCCCAGCTCTTCCACCGCTGGAAAATGAGGGACGACCCATCGTGCGACTGTGGTCACGAACAGACCATGCAGCACATCATCCCTCGTAGGAAATACCCGGGGAAATATGTCACAGTCATACATAGTGTTCTTCCAGAAGCCATTAACTGGCTCACCGACACTGACATCAACTTTCAAGGATCGTGCAAGCCATTCATGCCATTCAATAGAAGAAGAAGCAAGGGACGAAGAATTTAAGCGAACCAAAGAAATTCCACCATTAGTGAGCATCACTGCTCAGAAAAAAATCTTTCTGATCCGAAATCTAACTTGGAAGTTACGAGGCTTGCCCGACATTTTCCGGAAACATCTAATAAAAACAAAATCATTATTTTTATCGCTGCCAAAACCGGTCCACAGAACCATCACACCTTCCTCAGCCTTCAAAATAATCACTGTTCGAATCTATGCACCTTTGCCATCTGGAGGACAACGACTGGAACTTCTGTAGAAGCCTGTATCTACCTGTAGCCGGCGTAAAAAAAAAGCAAATTATTGGCAATTTTCCGTTGACTGTGGCTAGCCACACAATATATATATCCCGGACATGGCCTCCTCCGACTATCATCAGATCGGCCGGTTGAAGGACTGACTTCGTGGAATACGTTTCATCAGAGGTGAGGATCTTCAAATTTCTGAAAGATCACGGCAACAACGACAAGAAACAGGCTTTCCATTAGAACAGTGATTATTTTGAGGGCTAAGGAAGGCGTGATGCATCTGTGATGCATCTGTGTATCATCTGTGTCCCCCCAGTCCAGGCCCTTCACTCAAAATACGCCACTGCCGAGACTCAAATGTTCATTAAATATTTGAACCATATTGAAACTCATTTTCCCTCGAGAGAAATGAGTACCATGTCTCATCCAAACATGTAATTTGATAAATCGAAATTACAACTATATTTTATTGCTGCATTTCAGTTGTTGTCTACAAATTGAACCGGGCGGTGTTAAATTAAATGCGGGGGAAAAGGAAAGTAAAAGAGGTATGACATTTGAAAACGAGCGATAGGGGAGAGAGAACATTTTAAAGAGTTAATGACAACACCCATGATTCACCGAATGTTGCGGGCAAACTTACTCATAAGTTCTCTCCTGCATCCCTGCTCCTGCATCCCTACGAACTTATTCTGAAGTCCAAAGCAGGTCTAAAGTTGGTCGTTATTTTGTTGGGGAACTCTGCTCCAATGTCCTCACGACGGAGAATGAGATATTCGCGAATTGCGGAATGAATCTACCCTTGAAAACTTTTGCTGCTGTGTTCCTGGGGCTGGCCCTTCATTACCACGGATTTTTTTTTTTTTTTTTGCTGCAAAACTGGCTTCGGCTACCCAAGTCATTTCACTAGTTTAAATGTAAAAAAATTGTGCAGTGATTCAATGCTCTTTCTTGAGTGTCCATCGAAAGAGGTCTTCCTTACCGACGGACTGTCGGAACGGAAATCACAAGATGATCATTGATCAAACGAATCGCAAGGAACGGTGATATTTCGAAACTTAAAGTCGCCACATCATCGAAGGAAAACCTTTTCGGCCGTCGGGATGCGAAACCGAGAGACGAGAAGAAACTCTTTCGCTCCGTTCAGGTCGGATAGTCAGCTGATGACCCGGTTCACTTCTCGAGGCTGTCCACATTAACCACGCTGACCATGGCGTTTGAGCAGACAGAATTTCACCTCCAAAAAAGCTTCTCGACTATTCCTAAGACAGTCCCCTTGCCCCTCGTGGCCAGCGAAAATTTTGAGGCGTATTTCTTCAAACTCTTCAGCATCACCACTACCCAGGGGGGTGGGGGTGAAGATTTAAATCCTGAGTGCAGGAGCGAAATACGCATGCGTACTGTCTTCCGAACAACTATGGGAGAAAGCGAAGAAATCCGCTCTAGGGCTCGTAGGCCATGTGGCGCATGTGAAAGCATGGGATCGCGGGCCCATCCTTTCGAATTATATCACTCTAGGTCAACTCAGCTCCAGGTTTGGGATGCTGGCTTCGATCAAGTCGTACCATGATTTTACTTCCAATCCGTATCATCAAAAGCATTGCCATGATGAACCTATGGACATTCGGAAGATCCGACCCATGATATCAACATTGCCTAAAATTAACCTGATTTCCCCTTTCAGTCCAACGTGCTCAATCCTAGAACATGGACTGGACCGAGGTGTATTTGTAAACCATGTATGTAAGACTTTATTCTAGCTTTCCTTGGATCCAGTTACATCTAGGGTGCATTAGGAACTACCATATACTTATATTTTAAAATTATTATCCTACCAATTGCGTCAATCTCGTTAAGGAGGCCTTTTAAATTAAAGGTTTAAATTCCATTAATATGAGTTTTATGCAGTTGGTAAGTCCAATGGTCTGGGTGTAATGTGAACTAGGGTCCTGCTTTTGCAGGGCTCTGAAACTGGTAGGGGTTGCCTAGGATATGAGAGAGGCTTGGGATGCCTTGGAGTTATTAGATCCAGAGAAGTCCTCAATGTAAATAGTTACAATTGCAAAACACCTGACACTATTTTACTGTTTCTTGCCTTTTTTTTTTTAAAGCAGAGGTGAAACTGCTTGATAATAACTCTAATCCTATCCAAAGACCATGTGACTCGCTGGAAATTCAGTCTTCCTACTGCTATAATTTAGATCTATTCTATGACATGTAACAGGTATTGAGCTCAGCTAAGCCTACTTCCCTTGCTGTCAACTTCAATATTGATCTATTTTATTTAGAGCAGCTGTCCATGCACTTATGATTTTGATTCCAATTATGACTCTTGAAATTTGATGAAGAGGGTGATTATATCATGCCCATATTGGATTGCTGATTGTGATAAAGCAAAAACCTCCAGTGTCTCTCAGATTGTTGTAGAACATGTTAAGTGTTCTCAGCTTGCACTAGAGCCCAAGAACAACTACATGTTACCTTCTATAAATTTTTGAATCTGATATGAATGCTTTCACAGACAAGGTGAGAGTTGGTATATATGATTCTGTGAGACAGATTGCCATGACAGCAATCTTTGATGTGAAGTCAGTGGAATTCAAATATAGTTGTAAAAAGAGTGTCAAGCTACAATGCCCTCACTTCTTCTCTGTCAAATCAAAACTAGCTACATTATTTTATAGTTGCAACCAACTCTGTGACAGACTCTTGCTTTTGTGAAGGAGCCCAATGCACAACTTGTAACATTCTGAGGAAAAAGGTGATGAAACCATCCCCTGCTCGTTATTTTCTTTTAGGAGTTAAATTTTTTCTTTAACCTGCAGAACTTCATACATAGATATGTGAGAAGCCTCCACAGCTTAAACTATGAGAGCTATAAAAAATAACTGATTTGCCATGAAAAAGTGCATTCATTATTTATTCAAATTGTCTACTTTTAATAATTTATGTTTCCTCCAACTGTGGCTATAATAACTTCAAGACAATTGGTGTAAGAGGAGAAGAGACACTTGAAAAGCTCTGAATTATCTTCCCTTCTTCCATGCACTTCATCACTTTGCTGATGTTGCTTTGCAAGGTTTCCCAGGAGAATTGAGTTGCTTACTTTCTGCATGATTAAGAGCTTCAACTTGCTCTTTCAAAATAGTCCCAATGTTCTCAGCCACATTCAAATCAGTGGAACTTCCAGGTCTTTCTACATTTCTGAAGATATTGTTTGATCTTCATAACCTATGAATAAGGAAGAATTTGGTCCCAGTATCACAGTATCTAGAAAGGTAATTGCATGTGTATTGATGAGTCTTATTTCTATACATCATTTGACATGTGAAGTGGTGAATTGGGCTTGGTTAGATTAAAAATTGTATGAGGATTCCATAAATACCCTTGTTGTTTTACTTGCTCTTATGGTTTAGGTTGTAAAAGGGGCGGACTATCCTTGCAAAGCAATACCATTTCTTCTGTTAATAGTGTTAGAGCTAGTTTAATGATGATATTCAGACTTTACTATGCCCTTTGTTTGATTTATTCTTACAAGGACATAATTTTATCCTTTACATCAAATTGTGAATAATATATTGTTTCAATTTAGAGGAATGGTATCTTTTAATTAAGAGGATCTCTGTAAATATCATGCAGACTCTTTGGCATTTGTGATGGTAACATGGATTACCACTTTGAAATTACTTGGATTGTGAGGTAAACGTGACTCCAAATTTTCTCTGAGCTATGTTATTGCTCCATTCTTTGGTTCAGCTGGACAGTAAATTGAGCCCTTAGTTCTGATCAAGAATGAACACCTATATTTTTGACTGGTTGTCAGTCTGAAGGAAATTGTTTGAAATTAGCATGCAAATGATCTCTAATATCTTTGTGGACAAAGCTAGAAAAGTTGTATCCTTAATAATGGCATAGAAGCAGACTCGAGACCAACTGTCTTGAATCCTTCTTAATCAAAGCTGATGCTGTTGCTAGAGCCAAAGTGAGAAATTAAATTAAATTAATTGGCTGTTGTGGATGTGATTTATGTTTACTTCTTACAGCAGCTGATGGTGGCCAGGTGAAATATCCCATTGTGCCAAGTTCTAGGGAACAATGATTGAAAGTTTGTGAGAAAAGAACCAATGCTACAGAAAGGAAGCTCATAGAGGAAACCACCAAGCTCTTGAAGCCTTTGTGATAATGGATGTTCCTGGATTCTATTTGCCAAGGGGAATTTCTTTCAGCTACACATGGGATTCTATTTGTTGTCATGAGAAGCTTCACTGACCATTGGTTGCCCATTGCTGATGAAGAACTCTGCATTGGATATCTGTGCTCAGGTGTAATCCTTTTTTCCCACTCTTCAGATCTCAGGATTCATTGATCTCTGATACTGGAAGTGTACATTGCAGTATGCAAATTAACATGAAATAGGTTGCTAGAGTTAGCTTTCTACTTGACTTAGATTAAGACTATGTTTTCATGCTGTGGAGTTGATCTGCAAGTTTCTGCTTTTGATAGGCCCATCATTTTCTCATCAAGGAGTCCTGTCCAATATCCAATATCAGAATGGCAGATCTGAAGGATCAAGGAATGGAAATTTGGCTACTCTGCTATTGCATTCTGTGTCTTGTTGGGATTTTGAAGAATCTATATTTAGAATACGTCTCCATCCTCATACATGCCACCTTCAGTCTTCTTCAGAAGCCTGTGTCAAGGTCAGACTTTGAAAAATCTTTGCTATCTCATGGAGCTCTGTATTACTGGAACAGAAAAATTTGCATGAAAAGGTGATGATGTCATGATGTATGCATTCTCCAACATTTTTAAGAGTTGTGATTAGTTAGGATCCCCTTCAGAGCTCAACAGCCTTTTGTTTCAAAAACTGTTTGAGAACTTCGAAATTCCTTGTGATGCACACAAAAATAATTGCACTTGAAATCAGAAAGCCTCAAGACACCTTTCTCTGTTTTCTACTTGATGCCTTTCATATCATGGTTCTATATCCCCCAAGTAATGCATTTCTGTTTGATGCTCAGAAGTTATGACGTTGAAATTGCAAATAACAGATTTGTAGTGGAACTACTTGGAAAGGGATATGATGCATTGGTACTATCTCAGAGAGAAAAATGGGAAGACATATTTTACAAAAAAAGTGAGTGAGAGATTGAACATGTACTGGATAGAAGGGATGTTGCCATCTGATAGAAAACCAGATAAGTTTACCTGCTATATGATGGTATTTTAAGACAAATTTAAGTTATTTTTTGCTCCCAATCATGATCTTTAAATGATGTGATTTGTCTCAGCACCTGGTGGTTCCTTCTGTATCTTCCTTCTTAGCTTATATTTTATGAACTAATTATTCAGGAAACAAGACTTCCCCCCCCTTTTTAAAGTTATAGTTTTTAAAGTTTAAAGTGAAACAATATGTTGTCTCACTTGCCAAACCTCTGTAGTATACTCTTACTTCCAAAGGCTTCAAACCCAGGTGCAAATTCTAGGGTTTATTATTCATTTGTAACTGCCCATGTTCAGGATGGTGATTGGTATTCAAAGTGGCCATTTGATTGGCATGTGCTTCCAATAAATTCATCATCAAGCATCATATAAATCTTTGAAGCTAAAAAATGCTTAAATATTTTTTTCTAGAACTGTTGGAGTTATTCTTTGTAACAAAGAGAATTGGGTTAGATTCTTCCTAATTCTTCCTTCATCTCTGAGGAATCTTCAGAAGAGCTAGGTATGTATTTTGCTTGAGTCATGAGTAAGTTATTGTCACAGAAGAGAACTTGAGAGAATCTATGCATTTCTTGCATGCTTTTTGTCTGACTGCAATATGAATGCATTTTGGCCTGTCTTCCTTCTGGTTTTGATCTTATGATTTTTCACTTTTTTTTTTTTTTTTTTAGTAAGTGGGAGAAGTTTGAATGTTAAGTGCCTGTGAATATGGCAATGTTATGCTTGGGTATTCAGATGTTGTTCATATTTTATAGCACAAGTGTTCCTGATTATAAATGTTTTATCTATTACTTTTATTTGAATTGTATTGCGATAATTTTCCTTATAGATAGGTATTGCCTCATTTCATTGCAATTGCAGCATCTGCTTTGTGATTTAATTCTTTCTGGATTGCTTCTTTATTTCCTCTAACTGAATCTGAGGATTGAACTTCATTCCCTGCCATGAATGACAGACTTGAAATAGGTAACTGAATGTGGTTTTCTTGTTTATAGCATTCAGAGGTGATTGACAAATTCTGAATTCTTCATTTTTAACAAGATTGATTGAATCATTGGCACTTGAAAACTTTCTTGCATAGCATGAATAGGAAACTGTGTCTCTGCCTTGAACAATGGAGCTTCCTTTGGAACATATTGAACACTGAAGTTCACCCATCATGTTTTTCAATCCTTCCTTCCTTTTTCAATCCTGTTAGCAGCAGGATCACAGATTCTTGGATAAGTCCGACTTGGCCTTAATGCCTATAAAGCAGAAATATCTCATGAACACATGTGACTGAGAATAATGCTAGTTATTCTTATGGTTGTGTCACTTCATAAGGTTAAGCCATTCATTAGCTATGCTATTTTTTTTTTATTACCTCACATATAGTGTGCAATGGCTAGTAGGCCTGAAGCATCTCATATCTTCTCCACTTGGGGGGTAAGGGGGATGGATAGTCCTTTGGATTATATCTTTTGAGGAATTGCACAATCAAAGGTAGTTGCTAAGTGACTGTCTTTAACCCTTTGACTATTATAACACGGGGTGATACGTTTTCTATAAAAGTTGGCCCTACTTGTTTAAAACAATAGTTTATGTAAGATAATTTCATATCATGATAACTATTGAAGATAGCTGTTACATGCATAAATAGCTGTGAAGTAACCTAGAAACAGTGAATGTTCTGAGCCCAAGAACTTTCCCATGCTACCTCTGCATAAGCCCGAGTATGTACTTGGGCAAACAGCCAAAGGGTTAAATGTCACCTTCTCTTACTTGTTAGTACAGTTGAGTTGAGTCTCTGTTGAGGGAACCCCCTCTGTAGTTTCTACACATCTTCATCACTGCAGGTATTCTTATATATTTTAAATTTAATTCTGCTATGCTTTTAGGAAGTGCCTCATAGTTATGATTGTCTTTTAGTTATTGAAATGGATGTTTGAGTTTCAATTTCTCCCTCCAGGAACTGTGGAAATTGTTTAGTGGAGGCATGTCAATGAAGCATCAAGAACTGTGGATTCTCATGGTTCTGTCGTATGTCTCTGTCATATGTCGAGGCTTGTACTTTATGTTTTGCTTTTATTTTATTTGTACACAGATGGCCTGTGTACAAATATGGATGTTACTTCTCCTGCTACTTCTCCTACTGCTACTGTTACTGCTACTTCTCCTCCCTGTAGTAATTATTAAATTTGATTGGGAAAGTAAAACTAATAGCTTTCTTTTTCAGTTTTCTTTAATCTCTATGTGCTAGGCTCAGTGGATGAGAAAGTTCAATTCCTCATTCCCTTTCAGCATGGATTTGGATTCATACAGTATTTGAGCAATATTTCTGTCCTTCTGAAGAAACAGTCAACAGCTTGAGGATGAGTGCAACTGGTTAGAAGCAAATTAGGAAGATATCTAATCTCAGCTTCAAGTGGCAATTAAAAGAAAATGAAATCCAAGGCCCAAAGAAAGAACAAAAATCATTGCAAGTCTTTCTCCTGAAGTCTTGATATCAAATGTTGATGGTGAGTTGTTCCTATACCTGTATAATTCACAATTTATTCCCTTAACTCCTTTTTATTTTTCAAATATGAAATTTGAGTGACACAATTGCTGAAATCTTTAAGGGCCTATTCAATCAAAAATTCATGCACTACAAATTACAAGTGTACTGTCAATATTTAAAAGGATAGTGTCTTGGTCATGTCAAAGGTCAACAGGACACAATGGAAGGGCTAGATGAGAAGACATTTGTAAATATGACACTATACTTGTAACTTGTAAATCTTCAGTGGAGTAGAGTACTCTGGGTTGGTTTGACAAAATTTTGTTTGGTCACATTCTCTAATAACCTTGAAAAGAACAAAAAAAGTTTGTAGAATGCATTTAAAAAGAATATTGGGCTATTGCACCAAACACATATCTGCCTGGTGGAATTTGCTCATGAGACTCTACTCAGAGAAGGGCTGAAGTCCATGCATCTTGTGACCTTTCATAGAATATGAATTTCTCCCTATCTTTTTAACCCTTTCAAGCATGATGGTACACATTTCGTTCCACCTTTTTATATGGGTTATATGGGTTATTGAAGTGGGGGGGTAATGACCCCTATAACCCCCCCCCTGGTATACATTTTACAGGTTTGATTCTCACAAATGTTTAAATATGGCTGTATATGCAGGGGTGGGTTTCCAATTTTTCATACATCAAACCCCCCCATTGGGATTTTCTGAGCACACTACTGGGTTATTGTATGGTGTTTCAGAATTTTTACAAGGAGGCAGGATCATGCCAGTTCATATTCCATGCCAGTAGAGCATTTTCTTTTACCTGAGAAATCTTGTGCTTAAGGGAGTTAAAGGTTGTCATGGATTTGAACAGTTCATCTCAGGGTGGAGCTGGAGGAACAGGAGGTCTACTTGTGATAAACTCTGGTCATATGCCTGATTCTATAGTTACAGCAGTTCCAGCTTTGGAATTTTAACCTTTGCATTACAGTTTGAAGGACTTTGGGAAAGTTATCATTAAGTCACTTTTAAAAATCAAAATTTGGTATTGCAAAAGGGGAATCCTAAAACCTGCTGTCATGAATATGAATTCAGAAGTTTCTCATGAGAGTACAGATAGCTGACTTAGATATGGTCTCAGACCTTATCAGTTTTGCTTTCTGTGTGATTGCTGACAATATTTTCTCAAAAGTAAAAGATTTTCACATGCAACTATGAGTACTTTGCCTAAAGTCCTTCAATTGAAGAAGTAGAAATGAGAAATTTATTGTAGTGCAAAGAACTACTCATTTTTTACACACTCTAAAAAATAGTGGAGTGAAAACTGACCCAGGTCAATTCGTGGCTGATCTGATTTGCTTAGTGAATTCCTCGATTAGTTTCGACCCAGCTGTTTTTGAACACATGTAAAGCTAAGAGGTCATTCAAAACCTTAGCTCCTTACAATACAGTGTAAGTGATCTAGTAGTGGAAAATTTGGTTTTGATGTGAAATCTCTTTCAATTCTACATAGAAACTCCTTATTTCAACTACCAGCAAAAGTGTTTGTTTCATTATTTTGATATTCTGGGGTATAACTACCAGTGCACAGCCAAAAAATGCTATGGATTGATGCTATTGGAGACAGTCTTTCTTTCTTGCATATGTTGGATTCTTTCTCAGTGACTTGAAGCAGTCCAGGTAGTGGCTACATAGAGTATTGAAATAAGGAGATAAACAATTTTCAGCTGGTCACAGAAAGTAGAAGTTTCTTTGTAGAATTGATTTTGCTGTAGCAGATTTTAGCAGATTTTCCACAACTGTCATTGTTTATACAGTACTGGGGGGGAGGGACAGGGTAAGGTTTTGAGTGTCCTGGTATATACCAGGTGGCCCGAAAAAAAGGATCCTGTTTGACACTTTATAAAACTTGCTGTGGATGATCTTGGTTTGTGATGTTTTTGTATCACATTGGAAACATCACAAAATTTGTTTTCTGAAAGTTTCATGTACTTAAGTTGTCTGAATAAAAATAGTTAAAAGTGGAGTACAAAATTTACCTTTTTCCATGCATGAGATGGATGGAGTTTCAGCACTACCCAAATTATTTCTCTCCCTTGACACTATAAATGCATATTTTTATGCCAATTCTCATAATAGTATTTTGTGTAGTATCAATTCTGATGCTACAATATACAACAGCAGTACTATTCCATGACATGTCAAATACTACGACAAGGACATGGCATAATATGCAGTCTTTATGGCCTCAAGTGAGAGAAATCATTCAAGCAGTGCTAAAACTCCATCCCACCTCATGTGCATGGTAAAGGTACATTTTATGATTCCACTTTGAACAACTGTCAATTTTTATTCAGACAACCTAGGTACATGAAACTTTTAGGAAATAAATTTTGTGGTTTTTCCAATTTGATATGAAAACATCATGAACCTAGATCATTCACAGCAGGCTTTATAAAGCTTCAAACAGGAGGTTTTTTTTTGGGCCACCCAAAATGAGGGACATTCTGAACATTTTAGTAGCACATACATTTTCTTTGCAAATGCCTATGAACTCCATACTTCTACATCCCTGCAGAATATTCTCTTCCAATGTTTGTACAACATTGCAGCCTTATTAAGACTTATTTCAAAGTCTCCATTACTCAGATTGAGGTACACTTCATAGTTGTGAATTTGACACCAAAAGTCAACTCCTGAATGGACTAATATCTATCTCCAGCAGGTTTTGATTTGAAATCTGGAAAAAATCATTGTGAAAATTTGCCCTCTATTGCCCACATAGCAAATATACCAGGAGGCAGATGGGTTCATTGCATGGCTTGCTGGAATGTAAAACTTTTTGCAATCACGACTTAACCCAGCCTTGGAATTCACAGCTCAAGAGTCTTTTTTTAAATTTATGATAGGGCATGTGATGGAGACAAATGATGACAGATATATCTATACATACATAAAAGTGGAGGGTGCCTGCTTGGCATCAGCACCATAACCAAGATTACAGTCCCTCAGACAGGAATGCCCCTCAATGGTCTTGTAGGAGGCCTTTTGAGCAGCTCACAGTGTGCATAGGCTCATTATTGGAAAGAGTGATTCAGGTGTGCTGCACCCCTATCTTCTAAACATGGCATGCTGAGTGGTGTGTTGATGGTGCATTGCCTGCAAAGCAGGCACTCTCCATGAAAGCAGTTGGGTTGCCTGTTGCAAAGGAACAGTTTGCTGCCACCCAGACTCAAACTCTTGCCTCTCAAGTTTTACTCAGAAGCTTGTACCACTTGGCCACCGAAGCCAATCACTGCTGTCAGCCAAGTCGTGAGTTAGTTGTTACCTGGCTACTTTGTAGCAGTATTCATAAGTTTTCTGATAGCTACCTCCAATTTCACATTAGATCAGTAACAATCAGCTTAATTACTTTAAGTATTAGCACATTACTCGTAGTATTCCTTTTACTACAAGGACTA